CATCCCAGCACTGGTTCCAGTATGACATAGTGGAACCAGTGCTGGGATGCCCTCTCCACCCAGTCCAGGTGATGGACTGCAGTCCACACAGACAGACAGACAGACGGGTTCTTCCTTTGACTGCCTGTCGCTTTGTTGTTGAAATGTTTCCATTCTGGGTCTATAAATGATATTTCTATTTTATCTTCAGGTTATTTAGTGATTGTTTTTATTTATTATTTTATATTATTTTTTGCTGTGGTTCTGGTTTCACCCCTCACTTCTCTTACTTGGAAATATTTTAAAGAAGTGGCTCATGAGTCATGAACCACATCTGGTGCTGCTGGTTCCTGCTGCAGTGTGTAGATCTACAGCCAGCTGGTTTCTATGGATACACACCATAAAAAGGAACAGAAATCCACCCAGCTGCTTAAAGTCCAAAACCAGAGAGCAATTTTACAAAAAAAGCTATTTTTCCAAAAGAAACGCAGGAATGAAAGTTTCAAAAAAGAAAAAATTAGAATGAAATAAACAGAGCAACTCTAACATCCTTCCACCTTTTAAAATCATTTAATTAATATTTTTTACCAGATTAAATGTTGATTATTGTTTTCTGCTTTGACATTATAGATAAATATGATCAGAATTTTCATATTTATTTTTCTCTAGGTATCCGTCAGGAAACCTAAAGGCCCAGAATGAAGACGGTTTGTTGTTCCTCCTCTGTGGGGTCATTTCAGCATCTGGAGAAAAACCCAAACCAGATAAAAAACAACAGATGTCTGTTTAAAAAGGAAAAAAGAAAACTGAAAAGTTAATAATGGAGTATCAAACATGGTAACAGAATATTTATTTTTGCTTTAAAGCCACAGATCTGGTTAAAAAAATACAAATATATAAAACAGCATTGCATAAGCTGCATACGGTCAAAGTTCTGGTTGAGCTGGTCTCAGGCAGAATACATGAGCTCAAGTGGTAAAATAAACAGATTAACCTAAAAGCAGTTTCAGAAAACATTGATTCATCTGAATGATCAATCATCTTCTTCAAACATTTTAAATGTTAGTTTGTCTTTCAGTGCTTCATATTTCAGCAGCAGTGAGCAAAGCTGCGGAGGTCCAGCTTCTCATTTGGGTCGAGTGAGTTCTGAGTAGATCTGGTTCTGGTCCTGGGTGGACGGGTGGAGGCTCTGGTAGGCGGGATCCTCTGGATCCTCTGGATCCTCTGGAAAGCAGTTCTCATAGGTGAGAGTCTAGAAAAAGATGGAAGCAAATGTTCAGCAGTTAAATACAACATGAAGAAAGACACATCTGGATCAGACCCTGGTTAGTTTAATTATTTAGAAATGTGGGTCATTTATCTCTGTAGGTACTGAAGTAAATTCACCTCAGTGACTGAAGCATCCAGGCCTCCTCTGGTCCTCAAACCTGTGTGACAAAGAAATAAATAAAACCCATTGATTAACTATTACATTAGACCAGGGGTCCCCAAACTTTTTCCTGCGAGGGCCACATAGCTGTTCCTTTCTGTGGTCTTAGTTTTTGCAGTAAAAAAAAACAAAGAAATTCTTGGCGACGGGGGGGGGGGGAGACGACGACACTTTTGGATAGATTTTTACCCAGAATGCAAATGGAAAAAACCGTGAGTGAAACGGTGACTGACGAGTATATATTCCATTGAGGGAAAGTAAGTTTCACATTTGCTCAAAAGCCCCCTGGTGGTTGAAGAAAAATCCACATATAAACCGGAAAATACAATATATGAAAAAAAACACTGAATGCTCTCTGGTACGAGGAGGCGGGCCAGATCCGGCATTGTTCAGGGGGCCGGACCAAATGACGTGGCGGGCCGGATCCGGCCCGCGGGCCGTAGTTTGGGGACCCCTGCATTAGACGATAATCAATGTGGACAAATAGAGACTGGTGCCAGAAATCATGACAGAAACAGAGACAGAAATAAAACTTTAAAATCCCAGATTGTTGAGAATCAAAGGAGAATCCACAACTTCATAATGTTCACATTTTATTCCCAATAAATCATTTCCATTTTATTCCTGGATCCCTTTATGATCGCCATGAACTCTGTTGTAAAAAGCCTCACAAACGGGTCAGTGTGTGTGGAGCCCCCTAGTGGACATCGGGGGCATATTTTTTCTTTTGCACTACCTCACAAAATGTTTGCATTCCTACACAATAAGTTTGTGTTCTGTTGCAATAATGTTTTAGTCAGTTCATCTTGAACACTGAAAATCTTTCTGCTACAATAAAAGTTTATCCGTGTTTGTTAATATCTCACTAGTGAGATTTATGAAGTTTTAGATATTTCTCTTTAGGACACAAAATTCACCACAAACTTATGTGCAAAATGCAAAATGCAAAACAGGCCAACCGTGAGCTTTCTGTCCCAAAACAGACACGTTCTCAGAATATGGACAGATAAATATTTATATCTCAAACTACATTTATCATCTCTATTAAGTTTACTAAAACTCTCCACTACCCGTTTCATCTTTATCCCGGTTGCCATGGAGACGTGGTGTTAGTTGGTGTCTCACCTCTCAGAGATCGTCTCCTGCAGGAAACCAGCAGAGCTGCTGAGACCAGAACCACCATGGCAGCCAGAGTCACACCAACGATCACAGGAACATCTGCAGAGGGACAACAAGCTGGTTCACACTGACACCTGCTGGTGGACGGTGGTACTGACCAGCTGGACATGGAGACAGATTACAACCTGCTCTCATGTTAAACACGTTCCTGTTTATATGAACTCAGACTTTAATTCTTCCAATCAGATAAATGCCTTGTTAGCAGGCTGAGTGATGCTGTGAGGGGATTCAGATGTTTGTTTCTGGTGTTTTGAAGAAGTTATGCATTTAAAAGCAGCAGGACAGACAGCAGCTCTGAGGACTAAAGCTGCTCTGGTTCACTGAAACTTTCTGAAGAGAAAAGTGTAACTCTGACTCACAGTGGCTGAGTGGAACCTGGATTTGTGCAGGTTGAAGAGAGGAAGCCTGAGAGGTTTCTGGTCTGGAGGTTGATGGCTGAACGGCTGAAAAAAGGAAAAATGGTTGGAAATGATCCGTCCCACCTGACCACAGATCCAACCCCACAAAGTTTAAATCTCATTTATGGTGCTGTAACTCCATCCATGAAGGACTGAACTAATTTCTTAAAATAATGTTTTGTTTTCATTGATTACTGGCCGACTGGAACTCATTCATGCTGGACTCTGTCATTATATTCATGCTTTGTTCTTTCATATTGGTGGAGCTGCATTGTGATGAATCTACATTCTGTGAAAATTAATAGGAATTACGGGAAAACTGTTCCCTATTCTGGTATATTTGAGATGCCCAGAATGAACTGGGAACGTTTTCTGGACCTGGTACCAGCAACCCAAACTCTGAAGATGACTGTTGGAGGATTGAAATGGACTTAAAGGGACACTTTAATTATCTGACTGAGATGGAAACTCACCCGGTGTGACGGCGATGTCAAAGTCTATGAATGCAGTTCTGGGTCCGTCCTGCTGACAGCGGTACCGGCCGGAGTCAGACTGGCTCAGCTCAGTGATGGTGACCAGCAGAACTCCCTCAGCAGAGGATTTCCTTTCATACTGGATGCTGTATCTGCCGCCGTGAGCGGATTCTCCTGCCGTCTGCACCAGAGCGTTTCCTCCACAGTCTCCTCTGCAGAAATACTTCGTCCCACCAGAGAGAGCAAACGAACAGGCCACGCTGACGGAGCCGCCGACTTCTGCAGACACGAGCTTCTGCTGCGGCCCGCTGCTTTTATGCAGCACCGCTGTGGGATGACAGCAACGACCAGGCGTCATATTTCTGCTCTCAAACATCTGAAGCCTCAACAGGAACTCACCGTCTGTGACTCTGAGTTGAAACTGTGTGAATGAAGCTGCAGACACCGAGGCGTCGGTCCTGCAGTGGTACGTTCCAGAGTCAGACTTGGTCAGAGGAGAGATGGAAACAACCAGCTCCTGCTGGTGTTTGTACTCTGAGCTGAATCGGCCGCTCTGAGCCGAGTCTGCCTGCGTTTTGATCAGGACGTTTTCTCCCTCACAGTCATCCCTGCAGAAGATCTTCCAGGTTTTAGGGAGGTGATAAAGGCATGGGAAGGAGAAGTTTTCTCCGGCTGCTCTGAACTGATACATGGCTCCCTCCGTGTAGCAGCTGCCTGCACCCTGCAGACCTGCAGGAGAATCAACCAGCAGGAAGCTTCAGAGGAAGAAAATACGGAACAAAACCTTCATCTAGCGTCTCCGTCACCAACCACAACGAGCTCAGAGGGACATTTAGATCATGTTTACCTGCTGCACTGCAGTTTAACATTATGGAGCAGCATGAGAAAAATGAATGCAACATGAGAAATCAAACTGCTGCTGAGAGCTGCATGGCTCCTTCAGTCTCTCTGTTTACTGGTGAATCTGTAAATCAAGAATCTTCGGCTGAACTTCCTAATTTTTCAACTATTTTTATTGCAGCTACTTCAGTTTTTTCTAACACATTAGAAGCTGCTGTCTTTAAGTTCTTCCTCTAAATATCAAGTTTTGTCCTGGACTTGTGTTGATTCTTAATGTTTTTAATGTTTTCACTAATTCTGAGACTAAATATGAGGGATTATTGAAATGTTTTGTTTGTGATGGTTTTGTCTGCTTCACATTAATAAAATAGATTGTGAAAGTCAGTTTAGACCTTATAATCTGAACTGAATTTAATCTCCTTATGGTTTATTATCAGAGCTGAACGTTTCAATAATTTACATCATAGAAAATTACATGGACCTTAAACTTACTGATGAATATGGTTAAACTGTCGCTCAGTAAGAGACAGATATGATTTTTTTGCATATTAAATATTGGTGAGAAGCTTCAGGAAAGACGTGGACACACATCCATCACCAGGAAACAAAAACACAAACTGAACATTTTCCAGGTTCCTCTTCTTAACTCACTTTGATTCTCAACCATTCTGCTCTTGTTTATGGAACTTTAAAACATTTATAACAAACTGATGCAATATTTTCATGTACTTTGAAATATCAACTTGTTAAAGTAGCTTCATATTGTTTTTAACTTTACTTACTGTTTAATTAAGTCCAATTATTATTTTATTCCCTTTAAGGTTTCAGGAAACATTTTCTGTTGAAGAGACAGAAGCAGAAATAAACTGAATTTACTCACAGAGGGACAGGAAGCAGAGCAAAGTGAGCTGGGCGATCATGTCGGCGCTTCTTTCCGTCTGTTTGTGTTCATCTCTTTAACTTCTCTAATTAAACTCTTCCTCCTTCCACGTGAGAACAAACCACTCCTCCTGCTCTCCAGCCTGCATGGATGTCTGACATGGAAACAGATTAACATCCGTCATACCCAGAATGCATCTGGCCTCCCAATGGTGAAGCAACACAGGATTCCTGTGCTAATAAAAAAAACAAATACTGAAAAATGAAACGTACCAGTTTAAAAGTAAACTGCAGCTTTTTCTGGTCTAAACCAACATCCAGCTGAAAACTCATCCTGGTTTTACTCAACATCTGGTCCTGATGGGGCAGCCGCTCTGAAGCGATGACCTCATCACTGATGACCTCATCACTGATGACCTCATCACTGATGACCTCATGTTTCACAGAAACCTGGTTGGATGAACGCAGTGAGGCACAAACTCTGACTGGATCAAACAAATTACAATTTCATAATCTTGCAGGAGCAAAAAGCATAAGAGGAGCAGCGGGAGTTTCTATAACACTTCATTATTTACCAAGCCATGAAAAGGATCTTTGACTCTTCAGTATTTGGAAATGGAGGTAAAAAGTCAAGAGCGAACTCTGAATCTGACTTTACATAAAACCCCAAATTCTGTGGAAATTATTTTCAATAACTTTAATGACCTTTTATCTGTGACTGTCATGTCCACTGAGCTGAGTGCTGTGAGTGTCTCCTACCTTCTCTCCTGCAGCGTGGCCAGCTGCAGCTCATCATGTCATCAGGAGGAGCGGTCAAATAGGAGCTGGATGCCAGATGGTTCTACGTATCTAGTGGTACCTGAGCTTCCTGGTAACATATATTAGTGAGTTCCAGTCACATTTGTAACTGTGTACCTGTCCATTTTTTCCATCTCAGAGTTCTTGTTCCTGGTCCGAGTCGAACCTTTGCTGGTTCTGTTTTCCTCCCGGTGGCGTCCCCATCAGCTGCATGCTGATAGCGGCTTCCC